GTATAGACTTAGAAGCTTTAAACTTTATCTGTTCTGAAATTTCAGAAGGACTAGGTGATGGGGGTTGCGACCCTAAGTGTCTACAAACCCCTATATCACGGAAGAAGAGTCCATGTAGGCATAAGAAAAAAACCAAGAATCATTCTAGATGAAAGGCATATTCTGGAATTGCAACGGGTTTGCAGATTGTAAGAAGTATAGATTCCTGTCAGATTTAACAAAAGAGAAAAACTTGGATTTCATTGCCTTATTAGAAACTGGTAGAGCTAATTTCCCGCAATCGACCTTGAATAATATCTGTACAGGCAGAGATTTTATTTGGCATTGCATGGCTCCACGTGGTAGGTCTGGTGGCATGATTCTAGGTATTCACTTATTAACTTTTGACATAGGAGAAATAGAGGAAGAGGAGTTTTTTATTCGTTTCAAGGTCAGACATAGAGAAGATGATTTTAAGTTCAACCTGATTTCAGTGTACGAACCAGCAGAGCAGGAGTATAAATCACATTTCTTATCTGAAATTGTTAGGGTATGTTCTAAAGAAGCTTTACCTATTGTTATAGGTGGCGACTTTAACATTATTCGCAGACCGGATGAGAAAAATAATGACAACTATAATGATAGATGGCTGTTCATGTTTAATGCTGTGATTGATTCCTTAAATCTCAGAGAAATAGAAATGACAGGACGAAAGTTTACTTGGGCTAACCATTTACAGAATCAAACTTTTGAGAAATTAGATAGAGTACTAGTTTGCACAGATTTAGAGGCTAAATATCCACATACCACCGTATATGCATTAACTAGAGAAATATTTGATCACACACCTCTACTTTTATCCACTAATAACCCATTGTCAGCTTATCAACCTCAGTTCAAATTTGAATTAGGTTGGTTGCTGAGAGATGGTTATGGATGTGTGGAACAGTACACTAGTTGATGGCTCACCTATAGAGAGATGGCAAGCGAAGATTAGACGGCTTCGCCAGTACCTCAGAGGATGGGCAAAGAGTGTCAGTGGTGCGTACAAGAAGGAAAAGATTGTTATACTAAACAAGCTGGATGAATTAGACAAAAAGGCAGAAATTACCGCACTTAGTGAAGGGGAACTAGATTTAAAACATGTCCTAAATGAAAGACCGGCCGAATTGCTTCGGGAGGAGGAAATCAAATGGTACCAAAGGGCTAAAGTCAAACACCTTTTAGAGTGTGATGCAAATACTAAATATTATCATTTACTAGCAATGGTAGACACAGGAAAACTCGTATTTTTCAGCTTGAGGATGAAAATAATATAATAACTGGCGATGCTCAACTTAAAGAGCATATCACCAGCTATTATAAGAACCTGTTTGGACCTTCAACCAACTCGCACATCATGTTGGATGAGTCACAGACTGATGACATTCCTCAGGTCTCTCAGCTGGAAAATGAGTACTTGACAGATACTTTTTCCCAAGAAGAGGTGAGGGCGGTAATTTTTCAAATGGAACATAATAAGGCACCTGAACCAGATGGTTTCCCTCCATAGTTTTATCAGGTATTCTGGAACCTTATAAAAGATGATCTGATGGCTCTGTTCACGGATTTCCATCAAGGAAACCTACCTTTGAATCGCCTTAATTTTGGAACTATAATCCTCTTACCTAAGAAGAAGGATGCGAAAGTGATTCGGCAATACATGCCAATTTGTTTGCTGAATGTATCTTTCAAAATCTTCACTAAAGTCGCAACCAATAGATTGTCTACCATTGCCCAGAAGATAATTAGACCAACACAGATGACTTTTTTGCCAAGGAGAAACATCATGGAGGAAGCAGTAATACTCCATGAAACGATACACAAACTTCATTCCAAAAGGAAGGATGGGGTCATTTTTAAAATTGATTTTAAAAAAGCATATGATAAGGTAAATTGGAGTTTCTTACAACAAACATTGAGAATGAAAGGGTTCTCACACCAATGGTGTGAATGGGTGCAAAAATTCACACAAGGGGGTAATGTTAATATTAAGGTGAATGATCAGTTAGGGTCCTACTTCCAAACTAGAAAAGGCTTAAGGCAAGGTAACCCCATGTCGCCTATACTATTTAATATAGTGGTCGATATGCTCGCCATAATGATTGCCAGAGCAAAGGAAGCAGCACAGGTCGAAGGGGTTATTCCTAATCTAATCCAGGATGGATTGTCTATCCTCCAATACGTGGATGACACAGTAATTTTTATGAGCCATGATGTCCAAAAGGCGGTAAATATGAAGCTTTTGCTTACCACCTTTGAACAACTATCGGGGCTTAAGATTAACTTCCACAAAAGTGAAATCTTTTGTTTTGGCAAAGCAAAAGATCATGAAGAGTTTTATTCGCAGCTGTTTGGATGTGTTATTGGAAAATACCCCTTTCGCTACCTTGGTCTTCCCATGAATACAAGGAAGCTAAACAACAAAGATTGGAAGGTAATTGAGGAGAGAATTGAAAAGAGACTTAGTGGATGGAAAGAAAAAATGCTTTCGGTGGGGGGCCGAATGGTTTTGATAAACTCAGTGCTGTCTAGCTTACCGATGTTCATGATGTCTTTTTTCGAACTGCCGAAAGGCGTGTTAGAAAAAATAGACTACTTTAGATCATGTTTTTACTGGCAAAATGACCAGCACAAAAGGAAATATAGATTGGTCAAATGGGAGATATTATGTCAACCCAAAGACCAGGGTGGTTTAGGCATATAAAATTTGGATATACAAAATAAATGTTTATTAAGTAAATGGCTCTTCAAACTTTTAAATGAAAATGGCATATGGCAGGAACTATTAAGGAACAAATACATAAAAGATAAGACTCTAGGGAGTTGTGTTAAGAAACCAACAAATTCTCATTTTTGGAAAAGTTTAATGAATGTCAAGGATGTCTTTATGGAATTTGGCTCGTTCAAAGTGTTAGATGGGTCTCAAACTAGGTTCTGGATAGATACTTGGTTGGGAAATAAACCTCTCAAAGACAAATTCCCCTCGTTGTTTAATATAGTAAGAAGAAAACAAGACTCTGTGGCACAGGTTCTTAGTACAATCCCACTAAATATTTCCTTTCGACGAAATTTAGTGGGGGCGAACTTAATGGCTTGACATAGAATTGTTGCTTCTTTACAAGATATTAACCTACTTGAGCAAAGGGATGTCTTTGTTTGGAGTCTAAATGCATCTGGTAACTTTACAGTCAAGTCCATGTATGCTGCGTTAATTAACAATGGGGTTAGAGTGTCACAAGATTTATGGCAAATTAAAGTACCTACAAAAATAAAAATATTTTTGTGGTACCTTAAAAAAAGGTGTAATTTTAACTAAGGACAACTTAGTTAGGCGAATCGAATGGGGGCCGGCAGGTGCTTACATCACTATCAGGAGACCATACAACATCTCTTTTAGACTGTGCTTATGCCAAATACTTATGGCATGCTATACATATACTTTTTGGTATTGCGCCCCAAGAGATATAAATGGCCTTTTTATTAGATAGTCAAAGATAGCGAACCAAAAGTATAATTCATTGTTATTAAAAAGTTTCTTCCGTGACTTTGTTGGACCATTTGGTTAACAAGGAACGAGGTGGTTTTTGACAAATGCAAACCAAAATCTTTCTTGCTTGCAGGTACTCTTTTAGGGGAACGACTTGGCTTGACGATAAAGGCAAGATTGCAATGCATGATGATCGGGAGGATCGGTGATCCTAGTTGGACAACACCTAGAATCGTCACGACCATGATTTTTTTAGTTCAAATGGATGGTTATCTACAAGACGTCTAGTCTAAACTTTATTTTGTTTCGGTTACCAGTGTGGCTGGCGGCAAATGTGTTGTTTTTGAAGTCCTGTGTGTGCCTTTGGACGAGACATTGTAATAATTGGCCTGATTCTATCAGTTGATAGATGAAGCCGGGTATAAACTATCCATTATCTAAAAAAACAATATTTATATCTTTAAATAAGTTAATTATAAAAATATATTCAATGATTAATCTAATGATATTAATTATGCACTATAAATACTAATATTATCTTATATATATTTAGACAAAGTTGAAAATGTTTGACTTCTAAAGAAGTGATAATGACAATCTTTGTAGGATACATGCTCATCATCAATAATTCATATAGATAATTACTTAATTTCTTCTGACGTCTAGAATAGATAGCGAACGGTAGGGATGATACAGCACGAAACGATAAAAAATGAACGCGAATTACGTGAACTGCCAGCAGAAAGAATTGGGGCAATATGAAAACCGCAAGCACTACACTAACGAGTAGTACACATGCATTTTCATGCTTAACACACACTAACGAGTACAAAAGAATAGGAACTTGTGCGACCAAACCATGTTCAAATCACATCTTGTCTTACCAAAAACAGATCCCACCACACAAGCTATATCCCCTTCTAAAACTAGAACCCTCTGCTTCAATATCAAGTCAGCTGCAAAATGCACCCGCCATTTTACAATCATTCATGCCGCAACACAAACTTGACCTCCAAACTTTCGTAGCACCCTGCAGGCTAGGTAAGCACCACCTATGTTGTCGGGCTATGGGATCCGATGACAACTCAACCGGTGCTTCCATGCTGTTGCCCTCGACAGAATTTTTTTAGTCCGCCATTCCTTCACTTTTCAGGACACAAAACAAGTTTCACATGATCCGCGGCTATTGCTTCTTTCCACCCTGCAAAACACAACCAAGCTTCACTGCTGAGCTAAACAAGGAAGAACCACAATAAACTTTCCATTAAAAAGATATGAATAATTATTTTACTCTAATGCTGTCTACTTTTAGAATGGCATCAGTTAACTTGAGCACTAGTTTTCTTTTCCTCATAGACTCATGTAGAATAGATAGAGGTTTCCTGTGTTCGTTTTTAAAAAGAAAAGTAACGAAAAGAACTGCCAGGTCAAATTAATATAGTAAAATGAACTTTGTTATGTAGAGGAAAATTTATTGGCGGTTAGCAACACTTCAAGGGTGTTCAAATATAACAGCAGCAAGATGTTTACTTTGAGAAAGAAAGGCTGTCGCTTCTTTACTGGAAAACATGGTGCGTTGTAAATGTTCATCCACTACCAAATCTGCACTGCAGTAGGTTGAATAACTGATTTCATCTGTAGCAACACTGGAGTGAGAATGGTTCTCAGCTACTGCCGTACTATTACTATCACTATGAGGAATGCCTTCATTTCTGTTACCCCCATGGGTAACAGGTTGCATCACCTTGACTGATGCATGTTTCACTGTCTTTGAACTGGGAGGGACTGGGTCATTCTTGGAACGAAAGTCCTGCAAGTGTTCACTACCATCTTCAATTGCAACACTTATAGATCCTATTAGCACACGAGAGTTTTTGCTAGGACCCATCCCATGTTCATCTACATCTAACTCATGTTTTTGGCACTGTTCTTCAATCTCAGATTGCAATTTCAATGCACAAGTTTTGTTTCTACTTGGCGCAGAACAGACATTTGGATCCTTGTAATTTGAAGGCCTCACAAAAGCTGGATGCTTTGAAGTAACTACAGGACCAGGTAGAACGCTATTTTCAGCAAGCCCCTCTGTTCTGCCTAAACGATGCCTTGAAACGTGTTGCCTTAATACAATACCTTTATCCATTTCAGGCCCCAAATCACAACTGATATCTTCTACCGATAGGTCCACATTAAAACCATTGTCAGTTTCTGAAGTAATTGGTGCTGGAAATTGAAGATACTGTGATTCCGGATGAGAAATGGACTTGACACTTTGAATGGCAGTAGAACATGTCGCATCATCCATGATTTCGGGTGACTGAACTATCACATCCTCATTGTTGAGGTTTTTTAACCTCTGTTCTTTCTTCCTAAGTTTCTTCATCGCTTACTTTCCATCAGTTCGGCTTGCCTTCAAGGTATAGAAGAAAACTTAAGTAAATTCCACCTCAAAATTGAGCAAAATGATGGTTTGCTAGCTTTTTGAATTTTATAGTGCACTCATAGTGGCTAACCTTTTCTGAGCAGCTTCCTCTTCCTCCTCCAGCAACTTCTGGCATCTTAATGCTTCAGCAGTCTTATCAGCACACCATGCTTCAACCTGTAGTTCGATTTGCAGTAGCAGAATAAATTGATCAAACTTATACATAAAAGGTAAATGCAAAATATCTTTTTTTTTCCACAACAGAAGTACTATCTTACCAGCTTTTGTTCAAGCATGTAACTAATGCACGAAACAACATTCTTCAACTCAGTTGCAATTTTGTCTACCTCTCCGTCAAATAAAAACTTCTGTATATAAGCAGCTGTATTTGTGCAAACAAATGTTTTCTCACTTGCTTCATCAAGCAAGCTAAATAGTTCATCCGATGACACAGGCAGATGCATTGAAGCCTTTGTTTGAATCAGATCCTGTAGAGAAGAAAGGGAACATATGATGCTGGGTTCTAAATGCACACCATAGGTCAGGAAAAGGTAATTTAAAAACCTTACCAGAAGCTCACTGCCAGCTCTGGCATATGCCATTGGCAACGAAGCATACCCTGGTTTACACATCCATGATGATAATGCTGTTAAAATTGATGAACCAGTTACACCCTGAAAATGTATTTATATTCCCAGTTACTAATTTGAAAGGGAAACAGGTTTACATATGCCGCATGTTATCTGGGAATTAACAATCTGGTAGTACAATACTTACCTCTACAACAACACCTGTCAAGGACAAAATTGCGCTGGCATCATCCACAGTCAGCTAAAGAGAACAAAAACATTCCAAGCTATGAGCAATGTTTCGGCGCAGAATAAACCAAATTGTAATCTATAAAGGGATACTTAACAAGCTAATGCACTAATCTAGGTATACTTCACGATGTAAGGATAAATGCACAAAAACTAGACTGAAAGTTGTAGAAATACATGCATGATGCATATCCTTTTACATGAAATGTAACAAGGATAGGACACGTACATTTTTCTTTAAAAACTTAATAACAAATCTATAAACTGTAAGCGAGTTACTTCAACTATTACATAATATGTGATCAAGCTTATAGTAAGTTCAGGAAATTGGCAAAGTAAGAAGCAATTTATTTAAGATAACTTACTTTATTCCAGAATGCAGCTAGAAGGTCTCTATTCTTGGGAAATTCCTGCAGAGCATGAACAAACAAGTCATACCAATGTATGGCAATGTGATGGAGGAGCAGTTTCATAGGAAAAAAATGACTGTGTGAAATAAATGAAGTCCAGTATGACAACAGTCAACAAACACTACTTTACCATCGATTATAATTGTATACCGCTAAGATGTTTAAACTAGTGTAACTGGAAAAAATTTAACACTACACAGGGACTGAAGGCTTTCAACCATTCAAGATACAAGTTAGTAAGCGATTTCGTGATTACTATTAGGTTGTTGTGCTAAACTTTCTATAGATTATCAGACAGCTGAGGAGTCCTGGATATCCCAAATTTCATAAAAGTGAAAAGTCTCATTTTGAATGGTCAGACTATATCTGACGTGGCCTCATCATATAGACGTCGGTAGCCAACTAGTGATGTGTCTCAAACTAACCAAAAAAAAAAGTTCTTTCACACAAATAGGTGAACCATCCAGTCTTTTTTTCCTTGAATTAGCAGGAGAGCCAGGCATCAGTATATTATAAGAAGAAAAGGTGGGAGTCTAAGAAGACTCATACAAGCCCATTAGGGCATGGTTCTTACAAGAGTACTTATGAAAAAAATAGAAACTACGACTAGCAACCATAAGAATCCATAGAAACTACAACTCGGCCCGACTTTCAGCACCATAAAAAAAAAGGGTATACCCAGTGCAGCGAGCTCCCGCTCTGTGCGGGGTCTGGGGAAGGGTGTTAGTGGCAAGCCTTACCCTCGCCTGTGCCATGCGAGGAGACCGCGACTCGAACCCGGGACCTTCCGGTCACAGGCGGTAAGACTCTACCGCTTGCACCAGGCCCGCCCTTCCAGACTCTCAGCACCATCAGAAAAGGAAATGAATAACAATGAGAATTTTGACTTGGGAAGCAAGCTAATTATCCACGAAGAATACATTCTTCCAATTCACAACTTGATGACTCGTGTTAAAAGGATCATGCATTATAAAAGTAGAAAGACCTACGTCATCGCAAAAGCCAGGTACGTGGTGCTGAAGCAGTATGGTGTGATGACCAAGGTCACAGGATCGACCGCTCGAGGCCGACCTCCTACCTTATTAATTAGAAGACTCGGAGTTCGCCCATACTTTCCCCATTTGGCTAACTACTATGGTAAGTCGGTACAGAATTGGAGGGAAAAGACAAAAGCACAAATCGCATACCCTATCTATCTTGAGGGTCCTACGATGAACACGTGTATGCCTCCGGAAGTTGATTGCGGAACAGAATTCTCTCGAACACTTGGTACACTTGTCCAACTGCACCTTAGGAGGCGAGAACAACGGCCACCCTGGAAGATCTGGAGATCCAAAAGGAAAAGAAGCATACATACAGGTTTAAATTGCTGACAAGGGAATTTCTTCTGCTTATCCAACAACACCTATTGGAGCTGCCTAGATATCACAACCGAAACGAAATACCAGTTTTCTGACGGGACATGGACATACATTTCTCAGTCTCACCATTTGCCTTTGCAGCAGCCTGCTTTAGCGCAGCAACAGCGTCCGGGATTTTGAGGGGTTGGATTTGGCCGGACGTGGTGATGATATCCCTCGCGGTTTCTGCACTGTCCTTGCTTGAAACATGGTTGGATTTCCTGGACGCATTCATCTCCGACTGCAAACAGGGGCGCGGCAATTCTTGCAATCAGTCAAAGTTACAGTAGGCATCATGTATATACTTGTAACTGGACCAGATCCAAATTTACATTAGGCCATTAGGGTTTGGAGCGCTCGGTTTCGCACAGCGGGTAAGGACGAGAAGGGGGCGGGCGTACCTGGCGGGTGCTCGTCGCCGGTGAACACCTGCAGAAGGGCGGCGGCGCTCGCCCAGTCGTCGCCGCAAGGAAAGGAAGGCCGAAGGCGAAAGAAGGGAGAGATGAACGGGAGGGGAGAAACAAATGGAGGTGGTGAACGCTGAACACGGACGCCGATCGTCATCAGGCGTGCGTGCAGGGGGCTTTTGCATCCACCGTTGTTTCCGATAGGACGAGCGAACGAAGACGAGGGTTGTGTTCTCTCCCCTCTCTCTCGACAGACATCATTGGCCCACAAAATGTACTATAGCACGTAGGAGTATGGCCTTTCCAGTCAGTGTCAGTCGCGCCATGCCATGCCATGCCCCACAGTGATCGACAAAGATCTGCGAGGCCGCGTGCCCCCCCGCTGCTCAGGTGCTCGACGAAATTCCTCGCCGCGCGCCAGCACTTCCATCGATCTCCAGCGGCGGTTAATTGCATCTGCACCAGTCGGCTCACGTCGCTGGCGCTACGGAGAGGGTCATCTTTGCGTCGACTCCGACCTAGGCATTTGCGTCGACTCCATACCGTTTCTTGTAATAGATCTTGAACAGAACGTGCATAGTTCAGATTTTACATTACCGTCTACCAATATATATAATATTTCTAGCATGATCTCTGAACATAAGCAGGTGCAGATTTCCCAAAAATAACCGTGCACCATCACTATCTTGGTTAACCAATTGCTGCTGCATCTAGCATGATCTCTGTCTGCTCCATCTCTTGTTTCTACTGTACTACTCCTGAATATTTATATTCTAGTAATGCACATCAATTCTTGGATTATGCTTATCTATATCTAATCACAAGAGAATTACTAGCTACCCCTACTTTGTTTTCATGGCATCTGCAGGCTGCAGCAAGATACATACTAGGAGGTGCATACTGTACATTAGTATTACAGTAAGTTCAGCTCGCATGGGAATTCCATTTCCAGGATTTACTAGATGGGGTTGCCATAGCCCGTAGGATGTCGAGCGATCTCCACTCGGCATCGGACGTGATGGCCGGCCGCCGCTTCCTCTCCAGGCTGCAGCACCTCAGCGCCAGCTTGAGCAGCTTCTCGGCCTGCACCTCCGGCCAGGGCCCGGCGGACGCGTCCAGCACGCTGTGCACGGCGTCCATCTTCACGGCCTCGCGCGCCTGCTCCGCGATGTTGAGGTCCAGCAGCCCCGTGAGCATCTGCAGGATCACCATGCCGAACGCGTACACGTCCGACTCCGTGGTGAGCTCGCCGGTCATGAAGAACACGGGGTCCATGTACCCCGTCGTGCCCATCGGGTTCGTGCGGCGGCTGATGGTCTCCTCCTCCAGCGGCTTCACGTGCACCGCGCGTGCCGTCCCGAAGTCCCCGAGCCGGCTCGCGTTGCCGGCGTCCAGGAGGATGTTGGTCAGCTTCAGGTCGGCGTGGATGATGGCGTGGGGGCGCCTGGAGTGGAGGTACGCCAGCGCTGAGCGCAGCTCGGCGAGGATTCTGACGCGCTCCTTCCACAGGAGGCCCTTGGAGAGCCTGTCCATGAGCGTGCCGTTGGGGAGGTGCTCGTACACCAGGCCGCACGACTCCGGGCACACGCCAATCAGCCTCACGATGTGCGGGTGCTCCAATTTGCTCAGCACCACCACCTGCGGATCAGAATTATTCCCAGCACAAGTTTAATTACTTCCTGCGATTATGGTATGTCATTTGCGCCGTTAAAAAAACTTTGCTTCTTATTATTAACAATTTAACATAAGAATTACCTCTTGCTGATACTCTGAGAAACCTTGTCTACCACGAGGCTTCAGCAGCTTGATAGCCACTGACGTGCCACCTAGTTTTCCTTTGTAAACTGGGCCATAACCTCCTTCTCCTATGAAATTTCTTGAGTGGAAGTTCTCAGTCGCTTTTTCAATTTGCGACATCAAGAATTGCTCAATGTTCTCTGGAATTTGCAGCTCTGGATATCTAGGTTCTGATAAACTCTTCCGCTTCAGTGAAGCAGCCATTTGTCTAGGTGAAAAGCTCCTCTCGCCGTGATTATGCTCCTCTCCTTGCAGCTGTTTCAGTTTGTTTTGCAGTCTTTCTATTTCCTTCTGACCAAACAAAATAAGAGGTGCTGAATACCCATACTTATATGATGCTCTAGGTGATTTTCTTTTCTTTTTATCGTCAGCATTAAGGAGATTCAATACTTCAGTGCTATCAATCATGTGACATACATTTTATTCCATATAATTTCTATCACCTATTTCTCTGAACCTGTCACCTGATGTTTTCTGACCTATCACAAGTTGAAACCATCTGTATCTGTAGGTAACTAAGGCTTCTGGATCTGTGTTTAGAAGTAGTAGAATCTGATGAAGGTTGTATTGTTTAACTCTTACCATGATTTTTTCAGCCTTTTCAGTAATGTTTCTGAAACTCTGTATCTCATCAGATCGATCAGCATCCTCTTCAAAAAAGTTTTCCATCTCTTCGGAAGTGACTGATTCCTCTGTGCCTTGTTCAGTCAATGTTTCATCTTCCTGCACATTATGGTGGAAGCAATCAATCTATTGCACCGACACTGGTAGACACAAATTTTAAAGACTCCCAACCATAGAACTTAAATGTCGTTTGTTTCTAAAAGAAGAGATTTTGAATGCACATATCATAGAAATTTACCCTAAAGACATAACTGTCAGAAAGTATGTGTACCGTTACTAATTGATCAGAATCATTCATTTCAGTCGACTCCTCATCCATGATTTCATCTACCTGAAATAGTACAGCAGAATTAGGACTAATTTTGAATTATGGCCACAGACTTGTTGGTAGAAATGGTTATTGTTTTCGTGAATGGCAATTCTTCACCGGAAATTTACTTACAAGATCACTTGGTGGTGTCACGTAGCCATCGGATTCCTCACCTAGCTCATGTATAGATGCTAAAATACCTGAGCTCCCTCCATATCCTATATTTTCACTGTGCTCCAGGTGATCATTGCTGTATTTAAATAATTGTATTCATCAAGTCATTTCCAAATTTGGTCTGGAGGTTAATGAAAGTAGGTCATCGGTAATTAACATAGTTGATCTCTAGTATACCTGGTGGAGATGTGTTTGCCGTTGAGTACCACCCAAACCTGACAGCACTGGTGAAGCACCACTTGCCTTGACATGTTCCTGTACAACTTAGTTTAGTTTTTTATTCTAGCATAGAGCATTAGTTTTATCTGTGTACAGGTTGTACATAGAGCAGCATATCTGAAGAGATGCTTCCTTTCTTTTCTGAATGAGATGTTTGAGGTGTAGATTCAGTTCTAACCTTGAACCGATGATGATTCTCTTAATTTTGAGCTTCTTTATCAGGTTCACAACACCGGCAACAGTGTCATCATGTGTAAGGTAATGTGCGCTAACCTGCAGTAATACATACTTGTTTACAAGGCATGTTCCCTGACAAATAAATAGCTATCTTTATCCTTCGTTTTAGGAGCTAGTTGCAATATTAATTTCACTTTATGGTACTGCTAATGTAAATTAACATTGCAGATGGGATTCAAATAGTATATCAAAGAGGAGTGTCTAATTGTCCTTTCCTTCTTGGTTCAGCTCACCTTTTTTTTAACAAACTCAGATCACTTTTTTAGTTGTTCTTGTTGTCTGCCTTTTCCTCTTTCCTCTCTCCTGGGCAGAGCTAGGCCTTCTTGGCCTTCATTTAGCCCTCCTTTTATTTCTCAGAAAGACCTGTTTTGCTTTTCTTTATATAAATAAATATGGGAAAATTGGTTTCATAGCATCGAAAGATTACGACATTTGGAAAATACCATCGAAAGGCATCCGTTACGAAAAATACCACCGAAAGAATGGACTGTTACCTTCAAATAGCATTCCGTCACGGTGGCCGCTTTTGCCGTGAATTCCTCCGTTGAGGCACATTTGTTCCCCCATTTCAGAGAAACAGAGCACACACGCCGGCGTACGGGCACAGCCTGATTCGCCCTGGAGAGGGCACAGCGGCTGTGACTGACCAGCCGGTGGCCTTCGTGGTGGCCGGCCGCACCTATCGATGTCAGTGGCGTGGCTTGATATGGCTCATAGGAGTATGGCCCCGTGCCCGCGCGGCATGCAACACGGGAGACGGCGGTGGCATGCAGCAATGGCGAACCCGGCGACTACAAGGTCGGCGCGGGTACACGTCAGGTGCGTGGGGGTGCTAGAGGGGCTGTTATGGGCATGGCTTGTGCGGGGTTGAGTAAGAGCGATGGGGCGGCTCACCATGCGGAAAAAACAAGCGTCTACGGCCGGCGTCGAGCAAGACGGAGGCGGCCCGCGAAGCAGGGTTGCCAGCGGAGTTTCGGCCGAAGGAGGTGCACGCGGTGGTGGTGGACACGGTAGTATAGCTGGCTTGGTGGAGGCGCCTCCGATTGGAGCTGTCCGCGGGAGTTCCCCGCGCGACGGCCATGGCGAGCAGCAGGAACAACGCACCTGGTGGCGGCAGGATCCAGCGTCCCAGAGCGGATTTGCCCAGTTCAGGTGAGCCGCGGTCGGAAGAAGTCCGGACAGACGTGGTGGTACGCTCGGCCGAGGCGCTGGTGGTCTGCACCCACGGGAACAGCGACGGCGGACCGAGAGCCGGCCATGGCGGCGGACAGCAGCAGTTTTGGCGACATGGCCTGGCTCCGGCCCGGAGTTGTTTGCTATCGTGCGCAGGGGTGAGAACATGTTGGCGGAGATGGTGGGGCACACGACTCAGCAGTGGTATGGTGGTGCCAACGGTGGGGAACGGTGGTGGTGAGAACTGAGAGCAGATCGGCGGCTCCGAGCTTGGCGTCCAGGCACAGGCACAGG